AGAGGCAGAAGCTAGTTTTCAGCTATAAAGGAAATGGGTGGATAAACAGTAGAGGCAGCAGGTATCTGGCAACAAAAAGAAAAAAAAAATGATCCACTGAGAGAAAGCTACAGGACCAAGTAAATGTTTGAGAAAAGAAATCTTAGTAAGCTTGAAGGCAAAAAGGAAGGCAGTCACATAAAGAAAGGTTAAATTAGATGCTACATAAGGTAAGGGGAGTGAGGGAGCATAGAGAATTGAGGACCAGTGGTAAGAAATTTTTTAAAAATATGAGTTCCAGGGATGCCTGGGTGGCTCAGTAGGTTAAGCATCTGCCTTCGGCTCAGGTCATGATCCTGGGGTCCTGGATCAAACCCCACATCGGCTTCCTGGTCAGCAGGGAGCCTGTTTCTCCCTCTCTCTCTGCCCCTGCCCCCACCACTCATGCTCGCTCGCTCTCTCTTGTTCTCAAATAAAATCTTAAAAAAAATAATTAAAAGTGAGTTCCAGAATAAAGAATAAGCATTTTTTCCTCACCATAAAATACCCCTCGCCAAAAGAGTATTCATTTTCAACTACTTTTAAGGCCTTATAAAAATGGCAGACAAGGCTTTAAGAACAAGGCTAGGCGATTTTTTTTTTTTTTAAGATTTTATTTATTTGACAGAGAGAGAAACAGCGAGAGAGGGGACACAAGCAGGGGGAGTGGGAGAGGGAGAAGCAGGCTTCCCGCTGAGCAAGGAGCCCGATGTGGGGCTCTATACCAGGACCCTAGGCCCATGACCTGAGCCGAAGGCAGACGCTTAACCACTGAGCCACCCAGCACCCCTAGATTTTTTTTTTAATCCAAAACAGCTTCAAAGTTTTACAAATCTATTTAGCCAATTAACATGTGGTTTATAACCTCAAAGACACTTGCCAATCATTTTTAAGATTTATTTATTTATAAGAGCATGTGCACACACATGAGGCAGGTGGAGGGGCAGAGGGAGAGGGAGATAGAATCCTCAAGCAGGGGCGCCTGGGTGGCTCAGTTGGTTAAGCGACTGCCTTCGGCTCAGGTCATGATCCTGGAGTCCCAGGATCGAGTCCCGCATCGGGCTCCCTGCTCAACAGGGAGTCTGCTTCTCCCTCTGACCCTCCACCCTCTCATGCTCTCTGTATCTCATTCTCTCTGTCTCAAATAAATAAATAAAATCTTTAAAATTAAAAAAAAAAAAAAGAATCCTCAAGCAGACTCCCCACTTGAGTGTGGAGCTGGATGTGGAGCTTGATCCCAGGACCCTGAGATCATGACCTAAGCCAAAATCAAGAGTCAGAGCTTAAATGACTAAGCCACCCAGGCGCCCCTTGCCAATCATTTTATACCGTGTGTGTTTTATACCACATATTCAAAGGGCATTCCAATTAGCATTCAATTTATAATAACTAATATGCAATGATTTCATATCAAAAATCAGAGTTTATTCTCTAATATGCTCTTAAAAATGGGAGGGAGTGTTAAATACTGTTTTTACTTGACCAGATACGGAAACTATAAATGCTTAAATGAACATATTTATGACAAATCATTTGGGGATACCTTTTTTTCCAATTTCTTAAAAAAAAAAAAAAAGGAAAAAATCTACAAATAACCACAATTTTCTTATATGCCCTTTCAGAAACAAAGTCCTACTGGGGTGCCTGGGTGGCTCATTCAGTTGAGCATCCGACTCTTGATTTTGGCTCAGGTCCTGATCTCAGGGTCATGAGATCAAGCCCCGCATCTGGCTCCACACTCAGCAGGCAGTCAGCTTGAGATTCTCTCCCTCTCCCTCTGCCCCTTCCCCAGCTCTCACTTCCTCTCTCTCTATCAAATAAATGAATCTTAAGGAAAAAAAAAAAGAGAAAAACAAAGTCCTACAGAACAGGTGGGGCACACAGAGCTAGGTGGGGCATGTAACAAGATTTTCTATAATTTGTTAAGTAACCTAATAAGCCACAATTTACAGCTACACACCTAAAATTTGCCAATTTCAAACTTATTATTCAGCACCGTAAAGGCAGGTCACAGAGAAGCAGAAGATATAACTGATACATTCATTCACCTTTCTGGCCTTCCATCTTTGCAACTGCCATTTCCCTAATCAAAGAGGTAACTACGTTTAAAATTGGTAAGAATCATTCAACTTAGGCCATAAATATTACGTTTAGGTGCAATACTAGCACATTACAGCAATTTCATTTACCACTTGGAAACAAGGACTTAAGCTCAAAACGTCAAGATGGAACACTACCACTTCTTTTAACTGAGTCTACCGCATCAAGTTGCCAAGCAATACCCATCAGAGTACAAAATGTTATCAGCAATGGCTAGCAATGCATTTCTGCTTTAATCACCTTAAATATTAGAAGGCCAACCAAAACATCAATTCAATCATAAACAGAGTTGCCACCTTTAGACTTGCACATGCTCTCTGGCTCAATATATACACGTCTTACTTAGCTCTAATAAAAAGCAGCCTGAATCCCTCTGGACTCAGTGAAACAAAATATAGACAATATATCCAAAACTTAAAACTTTTAGAAATAGCTGAAACATTTAAGACTCTTATACAAATACCTCTCACTACATGTAGAGCTTTCCTTCCCCTCAATAAAAATGTAAACTCTTCTCTCTTAACTATACTTAACGGGTTATTAAAACAAATCCTACGAGATACTTTTCAGAAAAAGTATTCCTGATCGTGCAGCATTCGATACTTTTCATACTGAGGCTCTTGTTATTATCTGCTATGTGACCTTGGAAAGTCATTTAATATATCTGTGCCTCAGTTGTCTCACTTTCCAACCTCAAGGTAAACTCTAATCTGAATTAAACATTTATTACTTCTGTAGTAAGTTAAGGTATACAAAGAAGTACCTTATATTAAACACTGAAAACCCTTATACTTTTGTATCGTAATCAGTGGGCTTTAACCTTGTAAGAGAAAAATGTGAGGAATAATTTGCCCTATGTATCTTTCTCTTAATTACAACATAAGGAATATATTTTTAAAAAAATGCTTCCGTTTAAAACTCTTATGTTCTTAATTTTTAACAGATGGTGGCAAGTTTGATCCCACAATATTCATAACAAGGCAAACAAAAAAGCCTAAGGTCCTTTAACACTGGAGACCTAAAAGAAGGAAATATTTACTTGCATTACTGGGCATATAATCAAAATCATCCTTATTTTAAAATTTAGAAAACTATCTTTTTCTTATGTAGCAGATAAGCCTAGAGATCAACAGGCAAGAAGAAATAAAGTTTAAAAACTGGGAAAAAATTATTTAAAAAAAAAAATTGGAGAACAATGATGGTGTGAATCCTTCAAATTCCTGCATCCAGATTATGCTGTCCACAAGGCTCAGCTTTGGGGTTCTTTCATGTGCTTTTTAAATCCTTTTTCAAGATTACACAGAGAAAGTCTTTTCTCTCAAGTTTTTAATCTAATGCTCTATCAATAACACAACCCAAATAAATGCAGTAACATTTTACTCCCTCAGATAGATTAGTAGTACACTTGGTTTAGATGCTTTTTGGTCTGGAAGGAGAATGGGTGAGACAACTCCTGCAAGCCCCTGACAGCTTTGTAATTCTATTTTATCTCTGTAGTTTCTTCTCAATCCTGCTCTCTATTCCCAAATATCTTTCAGGTAGGTCAGAAACACTATGAGTCCTGTAAGGAAATGTTTGTGGATCCAATAAAAGTGGAGCCCCCCTCCCCACTCCATTCAGCTCCCATGATCACTTTTATGATTGTATCCAGTAAACAAAATAGATTGATTCGATCTTAAACAGTTCCCTCATCACAGGAAGCCCAGGGTAGAACACACCTGCAAAAAGCATCCCTTTACACCATCCCCAACTACCTAAAGCAACACAAAGTTAAACTAATTCCCACTGACAAAAGGCTTCGTGTGCATTCATTCTGATCAGCCCCAGGATTCAGTGTGTGAAGCTCAGGGAATAAAAAGGCACCTCCCCAAGCTATGAAACTTTTTTTTTCCACCCCAAATATTCTCAATGAAAGTTCTCTTGTCAACCAAGAGGTGAGAGTTAAAAACAACAAAATACAAGCAGAATTATGGGCTCCAGGACCACATCCCAGCTGTCCTTGCTCTCTGTTGTCAGGGACTCAGATGCAGTTTCCCACTTTTCCTTTCACCCTTCTCCCCTTACTCCCCAAGATTCTCACTCAAGAAAGCAAAATTAGACGCTGGCAAAATAAAGGGCGAAACTGCAATTACCAAGAAAGAAAAAAGGGAAAGATATTTCAGAAGCATAAGGGAACGAGAACCATGGTTTCTACTACAACGGCAATGTAAATGTCAGTCTTGTCTCATCAGGATATGGGGGGGGACGCCCATGTGGGGTACCAAAAAGATGTGCAGTGTGTGTGTGCACTTGGAGCTCTCGGGGCAGGCAGAGACAAGGGAGCAGAAAGTAAGAAAACCTGTGCTTTCCCTGCTTTCTTCTACTCTTCCCCGTCCAAGAGAGGAAGCTGAAGAAACTGGGGGAGGGGCGGGATGTTATCGTTCTCCTACTGGGGGTACACAAGACAAGCCTGGGGGTTCCTTCAGTTACCCCCAGTTCAGAGGTCCACTGAGGTAAGGGGAAACCCCTAAACGTTACCCACTTCCGTTCAAAAAAAAAAGTAAGGGGGGATAATTAAATCCAGATGGAGAGCCCCTGAAAGCGCCCCCAGGTCACTCATCCTCATTAGCAAGCGGAAGGGCTGGGATAAGGGGGATGGAGGGTCCGAGGGGTGGTCAGGGAAAAGGCCCCACCCCCCGACTTAGGAGGGAAGGGGAGCCAGAGCTACCAGCCGTCCCCTCCTTCCCCGCACCTCCCCCCTAGGCCACCCCCTCTGGTTCCCCCCTTCCTTTCCTCCAGAGCCCGAGGCAGCCGCGGGGGAAGCGGCTGCTCCTTCCTCCCCTCACCCACTCCGCCCCCACCCCCACTTCGCTCCCACCTCCCGCCCGCCACGGGCCCGTTACCTGCTCGTCGAAGCGGCTGACCACGGCCTGGACCCATTCCACCGGCCTGTGCGCGGCCATGTCCTCCCCGCGGCCGGGGGGCGGCGGAGGGACGGGCCGGCCGGCGCCCAGGGCCGGGAAGAGGGCGGGGAGCGGGGGCCGAGGTGAGGGCAGAGGCGAGGAGAGGGTCTGAGGAGTGCAGGCTCCGAACGTTCCCACGGGGGTGGGGATGGGGGGCCTGCGCCGAGCCGGGAGGGGGACAGGGGAAGGGGGCGTTGGCGAGGAGGCAGGGGGAAGGGGGGCGGGGGAGGGGGACCCGGGGAGGGGAGGGGGCCTCTTGGTCGCTCTCCCCACTAGCGCCGTCTCCCCACAGCCATCACAGTCCGAGACGCCGCCATGACACCCCACCGGAAGTGGGATCTTTTCCACGGCCCGGGGAGAGGGAGAGCGAGCGAGCTAGAGACTGAGAGCGCGGCTGGGAAAGGGGAGGGGGAAGCGAGAGGGAAGGGGGCCTGCCGCGCATGCGCCCGCGCCGGCCGGTTTCATTAATGAAAAAGCGAGTCCTCCTGGAGGTGACGTCACCTAACTCCTCCGGGCCCGGAGGCGTGCGTCCCTCTTCGCCGCCGGGCTCACCTACACTCTGGTTCTGGGTTCAGCCGGCGAGAGTCCGAGCTGACCCGGGAGCATCCGCTCGCATCCCCACCGCCACAAGAGGCTCCCCCTCCCCCGCCGGCCTCCGGGTTTGGATTGCTCCCCAGGTTGGAAGTTAGGGCGCCCTAGGGCTAGCGTTTCTCCCAGCGCGATCTCTGCCTCTTATCTGGGGAGGCTGTGCACAGTCCCTCTCTGCCTTAAGCTCTCACAAAAAATAAAGCACACAACCTCAGGTTTCCAGGTCCTTCGTAGCTAGTAAAAACTGGGGAGAAACGGGGAAAAGTAAGGCCAACGGAGATTCAATGATTTTTTTTTTTTAACGGTCTCTTAAATCCCAGTGCTAGACCCGATGGCAGTCCAAGTGCTCAGACTCCGGAGTGCAGTCCGGACTTCCTCTGCTGAACTGATAGGCACCCAAGTTAGTAAAACTTTTGCACAATTGATAATTGATTGAAGTTGCACCATCCTCAATAATCCCCTAAGGGCTTCCCATACAACATCGATTCAACATTGATCATCTCATTTAAATCTTTCAATGAGCCTTTCCAATAGGTATTACCCTCATCTAACTGATGAGGCTGGGTCACAGGAGGTTCTGAGATTTGCCTAAAGCAGAGTTGGTAGGTAGTCAGGATGCAAAGCCAGGAGGTTTGACTCCAAAGACAATAAAGATAGGCTGTGGCTCTCCAGAAACAAAGGCGTTCCCCATGCCCCTAAAACCACAGTTGAAATGATTTCAAGTGAAATGGGTCACGAAATTGGTTTTCCAGGAAGAGGATTACATCCAAAACTATGATCTATCTATACTGGACATGAACTTTGGAACGAGCTATTTTTAAGTTTATCTTCCTCAATACACTTTACTTAGGATACTCTTAAAATGAGTTTACACATTCTGAGCACACACTAATTAGCCAGTTAGGCCACATGGAATGATACTAATTGGGTGACAAGGCAGAGCAAAACTAGTATTTTACATTTACCACAAAAAAAATCCTCTAAGCCAGTATCCCATGCACAGAGAGAGATATCCATGAGAGAAGTTTCCAATCTTTGCTGATTGGTGATTGTCCAAAATACATATTAAATTTATATTTCATTCCACCAGAACAAGAGGATGGGGTCTAGGCCGTTCTGTAGTCCATTCTTTAAGGATGCAACATGAATACCAACTAGTTTCTTTTAGATGATGTCAGAAATGATGGTGACAATGTTGAAGAAAAGGATAAATATTAAATGAATATCCATCTATGCCTTTCCCAACTAACACCTCTGAAAAAGCTCTCACTCATACCTCCAGAGAGTATCCCAATGCCTCTACTTCACTGCTAAACCTCCAGACCCACAATCTTCCTTTCCTTTTCTCATGCTTCCTCTGAAAGTTCCTAATTACTTTCTTGTTGCCATGGCTCTTTGTCTGTCTATTCCCCTCATCTTAGCTAGCCTGGATGCAAATGTCCAAACCCTCAGCTCCCTTGGCTCCACTGGCATTCCATTCCTGAGGTCCCTTTGTGCTTTTCTTTCCTCTCTCTGGTTCCCCATTCCCCATTCCTCTGTAACTCTAGGGTGAGAACATTCAAACTTAAAGCCTTGGCCCTCTGCTCTTCTTGCTTTACTCAGGATCCAGCCAGCATTAATTCACTAATTCATCCTAATCTGCACTTCCTGTCCTGTTGCCCCCCACTGACTGCAAAGCATCTCATAACACTGAGTGTTAACACTAGACTCACTCCAACTTCCTCTCCAATTAAACTCATTCGATTCTGCTGAACTAATACTGAGCACCAAACACCTATTAAATATACTATGCACTGTGTCAAGCAGTGCATAGTACAGTAGGAATTCTAAAAAATGCCAAAGAGGGTAATGCAGAGACACTGTAGTGAACTAAAGAGCACATCCCCCGGCCCCACCCAGTTAAAGGGGCAGCTGTCACTCAGCTTGAGTTAGTTACCACCTTGGAATATTGACAGTGTTGCTCGATCTTCTGGTTACTCAATAGAAGCTGGAAATCTGAACTTACATATAAACTCTTCCAGTTTTTACATAGTGGCAGCCAATTCACATTTTTTAAAACTTTGTGCAGCCAAACAAAATATGTTTGCTATCTGAATTTAGCCCATGGAGCACCGGTTTGACTAGCTCTGGTCTAGTGGAAAGACATGGCTTCAGAGGAGAACAGAATTAGATCATGTCCTAACATCCCAGTTCTGCACTGTCCAACACAAGAGAGTTCAGGGGAAATACTAGCATTTGCTATAGTTTTAAATGTCTCGTGCTTGTCAAGTATATTAAATAAAAAATAGTAAAATTAATGACAATAAAATGCATCGCTCTCCGTTGTACTCTGTTTCTTGGTCACACAGCAGTCTCTGCCAATTTTGTCTCCAAGTGTCTTCTTCCTGGAGCATTCCCTCCACTCTACCCATGCCCCACACCTCCAGGATCCCAAGGAGGGCCAGGCACCTCAGAACTAAGGTACCCACTTCCCCAGCTGCTGGGAGCATTAGTAGCCCACAGCTTTCCTCTGAGTCCCTTTCCAGAAATTGCCCTGAGCAAGAGAGCTACCTCATGCCAGGTCACACCAGTCTCAGGAGAAACTGCACAAATGGCTGGAAGATTGCAGGTCTCAGGGTGGCACCATCCTAAAGCACTCCAGAGCCCTCATAAGGGATCAGCTCCCAGGGGGTCAGGAAGAGGATTTAGCTGTGACTGCATTTAGTTCAACTTCTCTTTCTGCTCTGTCCTACTCCCTTAGTTCTTCACAGTGTGGATCCCAAGGGTATTACCTAATAAATTTCCTGCTTGTATATCTCCATTTTGGAGTTGGTTTTCCAGAGAATCTGAACTAAACCAATTAGTCCCATGAGTGTGGTCTGATCCAGTGGAGCTGAATCATCCACTGGCCAGGTGGCAGTAAGGCCCCAGGTGAAGCCCTTGATAGGCCCTGGCATGCTGTAGCTCTACAACTGTGAAAGCTGTCAGCAGGGGGGATGGAATGGGATGGAATGCACAGGTAGATGTAATCTATCAGGCCCTTTTTATATATGGGAAAAACAGAAATTTAAGAACTATAAGATTGGACAGCTATTGATGGAATAAGGCAGTGAAAATTTGAGGCTGGTTAATCACCAATTAAAGGCTAAGGCTAGAGTGCCTCCTTAGGAATATATAAATGGGGGGAGGGAAGAAAACGCTGAGGATCAGGCCCAGAATTTAATCATAAGAATAGTAGCACTCCAAACAGGTTGAATTCTCAGCCCTGGCAAGTCTTCCATGTCAAGATCAGTGTCATGGTTAGAAAGAAGTGGGATCCTGACACTTTGGAGCATCTGGGTTGATATACTTAAAAACCTTAAAACCCTACATCACCCTGAACACTCTGGGTTTATAGAAGTGCCCCACTCCCCCCTGCTTGAAAATGTGAAAGTGTCTACCTTACAAGGCAACTTACATCCTCCTTAGGATCTACCTGGCCCTTTCTTCCTGTCTACCAGACCAATAACTGAAATCAAGTCACAAAATAACCCCACTGTGCAGATGCTGGACCTGCCAAAGAAGGGGAGAGGCACTACACTGAAGGAGCTAAAAGAGGTTGCTAACGTGTATATACCTCTGAAGCCAGGAGCCTAGGTACAGGATTGGGTCCCTAGGTACTAAATTGGGGAGGGAGGATGGAAGAGGAGAACACAATGCTAGACAAAGCAGAGTTTATTGGTATGAGCATGTCCCTGTACTACGGTATTTACATCCTAGCAAGCCCACGGGAGATAATGCTAACAGGTCACTAGGAGGTTTCCAGGAAGCTTAGAGAAAGCAATGGCCCACACTAGGTAAAACAGAAAGACCAGAGCCATCATAGCTGGGAATAGAAGAAGGGAGAAAAAGACTCAGAGAAGTAGGCATGCTAGAGTGGACATACCATGCACATCCCACCAGCTGACTATGTTGTGCCCTTTAGCACAAGCAATAAGGAGTGTGCTAGTAGAAGAGACATCAGCATCACTGAACAGCTCAGTGGTGGCTCCCCTCAAGACCAGGGGTAATGGCAGGCGATCCTGTTAAAGAGCTAGGCTCCATGACAGCAGTAGGCTTGATAGGATCTTGAAGAAATAGAGCCCAGGAGGCAGGACTTAACCAACAAAAGCAAGATTAAGCCCCATTGTCAGGAGTGGTCCGATTAGAGAGGTAGCCTAGGGGACATGACCCGCAGAGAGTTACGGAGATAGTCAATAGAACACCATGTACTGAGAGGAAATGGACATGGGCGGCCAGCAGGGTTCAATGTGTACACCTTTTAAAACTCAAGGATAGATGAAGAGGAGGCTGAGGGAACCTGTCCTAATGAAAAACCACAGTCCCTTGCCTGGTTTCTGGACCTTAGCCAGTTTTCAGACCCAGAACCTGATGACTAAAGAAGACTGTGTTCCCAGCAAGAATACAGAAAAATGAGTCCTCTGGTCCTCCCTGAATGTATAATTAGAAAAAACATACTTGGTAATTGGCAAAAGCCTCTCATTTGTCCCTTGGCCTGTGGGATAAGCGCTGTCATAGTGGAGAATGCCAAGTGAAAACTTCTGAAACTGCCCCCCCACCACTGCCGCGAGCCAAGACTCTAAATTTTTTGAAATTTGTATCCCCTAGGAGAATACAGAGATAAGACTGTGTGTCCAGAGTGGCCACAGTGGTAGGGGTGAAACTATGCATGAGCCTAACAGCGTGGGCCCCTACTCACCAAGGTTGATCTAGCCACTGATGCCACCAAGTGTCCCACCCGCAGCAACAGCAACCAAAACTAAGTCTCTAATAGGA